TGAGTGAAGTTAATCAAATTGTCCAGGTGTTCAATTCAGGTAAGTTGAAAAACTAGGATTGGATTTATATCTGTCTGACTACAAAATGGAAGTTTTTGATATATAGTGCATATTATAGAGTACAAACTGAAATATTGGTTCTCTACTTAAGACAAGACTATAATTTGAAGCAATGTCTCAATTTTAACTTCTTTTGTGCCTTTCAATTCACCCTCAAAAGGTGTAATATGATGGGAAACCTGGGATACTAAATGTTATATTTTGATTGAATAGCAGACTTTATATTTATACCTGAATAAATCATTTATTTAATAATATTATGTGTGACTAGCACTTAAATCCAGTAAATTGAAATGCTGATTCTTCTCTAGACCACATACGTATCTCAGTTTAGATTGCTGAGTGCCCTTCATTATCTTTTAATTCTTATGCAAAGTCAGAATAATTATGTTAATTTTTATTTGAACACTGAATAATGATTATATGATTAAAGGTAATAGCAAGAAATGACATAAAAATGTTATCCCCACTATCGTTGCCAAATTCTGAATAAAAAATAAAGCCTAAAAATCATATTGAAGATTAAAAATATATACAATGGTTTAAAACTATTTAGAAATTTTGTACTATTCTGGAACAATATTAATCACATGATACATTTAGTCCATAGGTTTATAATAGAATGAAATAAAGTCATTTCATGCAAAGAAATTTAGGAACACCAAATTACCTTTTTCACTATCTCTAAGTGACAAAGCATTGATGATCTTAACTGAAATATGAGTATAGGATATATGAATGCAAGTTAGATTGTAGATTGCTGACGTATGAATTCACTGTGATATATGAATACAGGATAGGTTGTGTAATATTGAGAATTGAAGCAGGAGACAAGTTAGAAGCTATTCCAGGGAAGCTCTAAGAAATGAGCAATTTGAAGAAGAGGGATCCATGCAAAAGCTACTATCCTCCTATTAAAATTGGGAAGCAATTAGGACAATAATTTTATCTCCATAAAATTAGGACCACTTGATAAGCCACACTAGTTATGGGGGCCATTAGGGTGGCAAAATTACATGTTTCAAATAATCTAGGAAATCAGGCAAATAGTTGTTCATGAGAAGAAATAGCAAACCCCAAAGGTTCAGATTTACCAAAAAAAAAAAAAAAAAGAGAGAGAGAGAGAGAGAGAATTTCCATTTTTACAATCAAGTAGAAATATTCAGTAGGCTGATAAAAATATCAGATAGAAGATTAGTAAATCAAGTCTAGGAAAGTGTTAACTAAAATCAGCTAAGAACACTTTAGAGGAAGAAGGTGATTATAATAATCTGTTCTCATTCAATGTAAGCAAGAGAAACCTATCTAGAAAGCTTAACTAAAAGAAAGACATGTCCTAATAGATTAAAACAAGGGAATTGGACACCATGAGGGCACTCTCTTAACTCTTACTTTTTGTACATTTCTGTTTCTCTTTTTTCAAACTTAATTCATCTTTTTCAGTCTACCTATATAATTCATGGCTGCAAAATACAATAAAACTGATTCTCATTTCTCTTCCTTTTTCTTGCCTCTTTCAGTTTTGCTATTCTTTCCTTCTTCTTTCCCAGGTTTTTCAGGAGAGGAATTTGATTGAATCATTTGTCTGTCTCTTAACACTCAACAATGATGAGGAAGGTTGGTTGTGGGTACATAACCATCTAGAAAATGGCCGCTTCCTGTATTTTGTAGGAGGTGAAGTTCATCCCTATGAGATGCTGTAGAGAGCTAACCAAACTGCAAGAGGTGATCTTTTCAGGGATCAAACATATAACCTAAAGAAAACCTATATCCCAGAATAAGATAGAAAAGGAGAGAGAAAAAAAGGCAAAGAACAGTTAAGAAGAAGATGAAGTCTAAACCAAGGGAAATAGAAAATCAAAAGAAACAATATACATTCAGCAGGAGGAAAATGAATAATATGTGGATTGGAAAACTACCAGTGGATTTGATCACTAAAGAATTAGTGATCATCAGAATGACAGTTTCTGCACAGATAAGGAAAGGGTTAGTTGCTACATGATTTGATGATATTCAGATATATCACGTTTATACTATTGCCCTCAGATACTAGTATAATAACCAATATATATTTTAAAAAAGGAGTGGGAGAAAATTAGAGTAATTTTCTATGACATTCCTAATAACTGCTGTCTCCTAGTGAACTCTCTTTTTATCTGAACACCCATAAATTGCTGTTTTAAGAGTCTGTTTTAAAATGTTATTGGGAATTTAGTGTCAAATTTACCAGTCTATGGTTTCTTGAATGTAATCCTTTCTCAAAAACAAAACAAAACAAAACAAAAAAAACAAACAAAAAACAAAACACATTTTTCTTCCCAGTATTCCAGAAGCTCTCTAAATTTGAATGATTCCATAAGGCTAAATGAATGAGATGTGATCTTCTCCAAAATTTTCCTTTGTTCCCTGGGATATGCTTGTTTGGGTCAGGAGAAATGAATTATTTTTAAGCAACCATCTGCTCTTACATTACCTTTCATTTTATTTTCCTCTTTCCCACAATTCTTTTTTTTTACTTTTCCTATTTGAAGACCATTTGCTTTGGCATAGAAATTGAACAATAAAACACCGAGAAGTCCTTTCTGTTGTCTCTACATAATATATATCTGCCTCAAACCAACATTAGAAATAAAATTTCAATTTCTACTTGAGGCCCAGTTCATTTTAGAAGTCTCATTTTTTGTCTCCATAACACTTTGCAGACGTAAAAACAAGGGTGGCATAGGATAAACTATGTCCTTAAGCACCCTGCAGTTTTGTACACAGGTGGAAAAATGAGACTCAAATAAAATTGATAAGTATGGGACGGTAGGGATGTCTTTATGGGAAGTGTTAAATTGGGCACGGGAATATGTTTGCATTGCACAATCATAGCCAGCTTGAATCCTGACATGATTTTACAGACACTTGTTACATAATTTATGGCTGTAATCTTCCAATTAAAAGTTGGTTCCTGGACTTCATAACCTGTTTATTGTACATTGAATTATCATCTATTGTTTTTAGGAATTACCAAGTGAACATAGATGTGATTATTATGAGAGGTTTTACGTAATCAAATGAAGTGATGACTTACGATCACACAATTTTATGTCATATCATCAAAATTATTTCCTCTACTCTCATAAAAACATAGGATCTCACTCAAAAGGTCCTCATAATCCTGAAATGGACTGTAGTCATTCCTGCTTTCATATGTTAGTTTACATTTTTTAATTCTTTTTTCTATGTACGACTTTTTTCTCTGTATACTCTACCCATCCTTTAAGAATCAGTTCAAGTCCCACCCCTGAGGTAAAGCATTCTCTGAGGAGGATTTTAACTTCAATATGTATCTCTTTCCCTAACTCCCTTTATAGTTAAGTTCTATATACTACAATTCACACATTATTATACATTGTTCTTAATTCTTCATTCTTAAAGCTGTACTTTTCGGCTTTTATTATATACATTATGCTTATTTATTCATAAATGTATTCATTATCAAGTAATAAACACTTTGTGAATGTGTTTCTTTTGTTCACAACCAGAAATAAAATTACTATGGCAAGAACTGGCTAATCCTATTAGCACATTTATTTGAACAACATACAGGGTATAAGTGGAGGCTGAAAAAAAGGGTAACAACAATTTTGCCACCTTGTCTTTTATATTTTCAGTGGTCTATAAAATAAATATAATGCTTGGAAAATAGTAGTTGCATACTAAATGTTTAGATTTATAAATAGGGAGCAGCTAACACTTCAAAGATGAATCTATGTCATAGTGTTTAAATTAGCTCTAAAACTAGAACCTGGAGGAAGACAGAGCTGGAGGGAAATGAAAAATGGAGAAGGGTGGCCTTGTGGTGGATCTGAATATGAGAAATGGTGAAGGAGACAAAACTACCTGGTAGTTCCTCCTGAGCACATGCAGGAAGATATTAGGCAGGATAATACTAAGCAATGAAGATTCAGAAAACTCTCCACAGAGAGGTATATTTGTGAAAAGCAAAGGAAACTAGCATTATTTAAAATGTGAGTAGCAGCAGGAAGTCTACCAATTATTTTACATATTTCACCTAACTCAATCTTCATGACAATCTTTTATAGTTTTTATTGTTTTTATTGTTATTTATACTTTGTAGATGAGGAAACTGAAGATAATAGGTATATGACCAATAGGGTAAATGTAGTTTTGCTCTATATATGAAAGATTCTTGAAAAATAAATGAAGGATAAAAGAAACATACATTTGCTATATAAGAAGAAGAAAAAATAAATATTTAGATTGTTCTTGAGACTATACAATCAAAACATATAAACTATAAACCTATGATAAATATACATATATTTGAATTTTTTTTCAAAACCATAACAACACATTGAGCCAAAAGTCTTTTTCCTTTCAGGGAGATATTCTGGCATTAGACAAGCACATCCTCTCTCATGAAATTATATTTCCAGGATTCTAGCAAATATAAACTTAATCCAACCAGGAAATGGAAGAAAAGTCATAAATAGAAATGTACAGTACATAATATTCATTTTTTAAAGGATTTTTTTCCTTTCACATAATTCTCTGAAGGCTTGGTCACTTATGAGACTTTCTATCAGCTTTATTTTATGCTGTACTTTTTTCCAATTCACAATTTTATCAAAGGAATTAAGGTCAACAGGCAAAATATTGGTACACAAAAGCACTGTATTCCACTTGGAATAAAGTGAAAAGCAAAGCAAGAAAACAAACAAACTCACAATCATGCAAACATCAACATATATGAGAAACTGAATATTTGAAATAATATATATTTATATTTGTAGGAATTTGTGACTAATGTTGGTACACTGAACTAGTATTATCACCAACAGAATTGGCTCCATCAATTAAGATGGCTTGGAAGATTGAGGAAAAAAAAAAAAAGAATCATGGTGAGTCATGCAGAATGGATAGGAGCTCACCTTTAACTTTATTCTTTGAAGCAGCCGCTGGTTCCAAGGAAAGATTGCACAAGAAGAGAACAAACATATTAGATATTAGACAGGGTGTCTAGTAAGAAAAAGAGATATGTTATTACTATTAAACTCTAAGAAGGTAATATTTATGATTACACAATCAACACACCTTAGAGGAAAAGAATCTATAATTAAGAAAATAATAGTTGGTTACATTTTGTTAGTATATGATTAAAGTCTTTGAATAAGAAAGAATAAAATAGATAGGAGACACACAGTGCAAATACCAAACACCATAAGGACTACATGAATTACTTTTAAGGACTGTATATCTTTTCTTTCTCCCTCCTTAACTCAACATTAGTTAATTGAATTAAAGAAAGTGAATCAGGAAAAATCAGAGGGGGAGACAAACCATGAGAGACTGTGGACTCTGAGAAACAAACTGAAAGTTTTGGAGGGGAGGAGAGTGGCGGGTTGGGTAAGCCTGGTGGTAGGTATTAAGGAGGGTACATATTGCATGGAGCACTGGGTGTGGTGCATAAACAATGAATTTTGGAACACTGAAAAAAAATAATAAAGTAAAATAAAATAAGAAATACTCACATATACTTTAAATATATTTTATTTTGTTTAATGATTAAAATCTAACCTGTAAGATTCCTTGCATTTGCTGAGTGCTTACTAAATGCCAGAGCCTGAGTTTGAGTATTTTCTACCCACTTGCCACATAATAATGACAGTTTCAAGAAGTAAGTTATGTACTCTGAAAACTATAGAACACTTATGAAAGAAATTGAAGAGGACACCAAGAAATGGAAAAATATTCCATGCTCATGGATTAGAACAAACATTATTCAAATGTCTATACTACACAAAGCAAACTACACATGTAATGGCATTCCTATCAAAATACCACCAGCATTTTATACAGAGCTAGAACAAATAATCCTAAAATTTGTATGGAACCACAGAAGATCCCAAAGAGCTGAAACAATCCTGAAAAAGAAAAGCAAAATTTGGGCATCATGATTCCAGGCTCCAAGCTATATTAGAAAACTGTAGTCATCGGGGCGCCTGGGTGGCTCAGTGGGTTAAGCCGCTGCCTTCGGCTCAGGTCATGATCTGAGAGTCCTGGGATCGAGCTCCGCATCGGGCTTTCTGCTCTCTCGGGGAGCCTGCTTCCTCCTCTCTCTCTACCTGCCTCTCTGCCTGCTTGTGATCTCTCTGTCAAATAAATAAATAAAATCTTTAAAAAAAAAAAAAGAAAAAAAAAAAAAGAAAACTGTAGTCATCAAGACAGTATGGTACTGGCACAAAAACATATTGATCAAAAGAATGGAATAGAAATGGACCCACAACTATATGGTCAAATAATCTTCAACAAAGCAGGAAGGAATACCCAATGGAAGAAAAGTCTCTTCAACAAATGGACAGCAACTTACAGAAGATTGAAACAGGACCACTTTCTTACACCATACACACACACACAAAATTCAAAGTAGATGAAAGACTTAAAAGTGAGTTAGGAAACCATCAACAACCTAGAGGGCACAACCTCTTTGACCTTGACCATAGCAAATTCTCACTAGACATGTCACCAGAGGCAAGGGAAATAAAAGCAAAATTGAACTATTGGGAGTTCATCGAGATAAAAATCTTCCACAGAGTGAACATAACAATCACCAAAACTAAAAGACAACCTTTGGAATGGGAGATGATATTTGCAAGTGACATACCTGATAAAGGGTTAGTATATAAAATATTTAAAGAACTTAGAAAACTCAACACCTAAAAACAAATAATCCAGTTAAGAAATGGGCAGAGGAGGGACGCCTGAGTGGCTCAGTTGGTTGGACGACTGTCTTCGGCTCAGGTCATGATCCCGGAGTCCCGGGACTGAGTCCCGCATCAGGCTCCCAGCTCCATGGGGAGTCTGCTTCTCCCTCTGACCTTCTCCTCGCTCATGCTCTCTCTCACTGTCTCTCTCTTAAATAAATAAATAAAATCTTTAAAAAAAAAAAAAAAGAAAGAAATGGGCAGAGGACATGAATAGACATGAATAGACATTTTGCCAAAGAAGACAACCAAATGGCTAAGAGACACATGAAAATATGCTCAATATCACTCATCATCAGAGAAATACAAATCAAAACCACAATGAGACACCACCTCACACATTCATCAGAATGGCTGAAATTAACAACATAAGAAGCAACAGGGGTTGGTGAGGATTTGGAGAAAGGGGAACTCTCTCACACTGTTGGTGGGATGCAAACTGATGCAGCAACTCTCGGAAACAGTATGGAGCATCCTCAAAAAGTTAAAAATAGAACTGCCCTACAATGCAGCAATTGCACTACTAGATATTTGTATCCCAAAGGATACAAAAATACAGATTTGTATGGATACATGTACCATGATATTAATAGAGGCTTTATTAACAACAACTAAACTATGGAAAGAGCCCAAATATCCATTGACATGGACATGGACATGGATAAAGAAATTGTGTGTGTGTGTGTCTACATGTGTGTGTACCTGCACACGTACGTATAAAATGGAATATTACTCAGCCATCAAAAAGAATGAAATCTTGCCATTTACAATGACATGGATAGAGCTAGAATGCATTATGCTAAGCAAAATAAGTCATAGAAAGACAAATACCATGTGATTTCAATCATCTGTGGAATTTAAAACACATAACAGGTGAACAGATGGGAGTAGGAAAAAAAGAGGGAAACAAACCATATGAGACTCTTAAAGATAGAGAACAAACTGAGAGCCAATGGAGGGAGGTGGGTGGGGGTGGGATAGATGGGGGATGGGTATTAATGAGGACACTTGTTATGATGAGCACAGGGTGCTGTATGTAAATAATGAATCACTGAATTCCACTCCTGAAACCAGTAGTCCACTGTGTGTTGATTAACTAGAATTTAAGTACAAATTTAGAGAAAAAAAAAGAAGTTTTGTTATCATTTTCTCACAGATGTGGAAACTAAGACTCAGAAAAGTCAAATTACTTGCTGACTATGACACAACTGGAAAGAAGCAAATTTGGGATTTGATCCTAGCTGTGTCTAATTTCTAAATCTGTGAACTTGGGATTTAAGGCACAGTTCAGTTGTCAACTGAACTGCAAATATCAGGTCTACAAAGCCAAATCAAAATTGAATGATTCACTAGTCTTCAGCTATTTGGTACTTTGTATTTGATACTTTGGTATTTGGTTGACTACATAGGTATAAAACTAGAAAACTCCATTACTTTAAATGGCGTTATCCCCATTAAGAAGTAGAAATTTCAATTTATTTGTATCTAATGGCAAACACTATTTAGGTCCAGAAGTACACTTAATGAGGAAATTAGAAGAGTCAAACAAGAGAGTTCTTTACTCAAAGAAAGGCTTCTAGATGCAATGCAGAGATACCTCTAAACAGTTTGCTATTGTTAGAAAAATAAATTTTGCAATTTTTGTAAAAGCCAGTAACATACATATTTTGTGTATGTCGGTTTCCCAAACAGGATCATACACATGACTTTGTAGTCTTTCCTTCACATTTTCCAGGTTGATGCATGGCATTCAAACTCACTATTTTAACAGTTGTATATCTTCCCACAGTCTCTATGAATGTGAGACTATTTCCCTATTGATAAACAATCAGGTCAGTTGTAGAGTACTTTTTTTTTCTTTTTTTTCTGCTATTAACAATACTGCAATGCACATCCTATGTCATGGCCCTTATGTATTGTAGTGGTGTTTAGTTTCTGTAGGCGAGCTCTGCAGGTTGTTCTCATATATATATATATATTTTTTAGGAAAGAATAAAAGCCCAACAAAGATGAAGACCTTTAATATTACAGATGGAAGGGTTGAGATTATTTGGAAAGGATATTCACAAGTATATTGAATGCTCTAAAATAAGAAGAAACCAGAATAAGAGAAAATAAATAGAAAAGAATAGAATCCAGTGTTTCAAATAAATGATACACTGCAAACTCCTTTGCTCTTTTAAAATGGGGTGCCTGGGTGCCTGGGTTGCTCAGTGCTCAAATAAATAAATAAAAATCTTAAAAAAAATGTTGCATTTAACTTTTCTTACAACATGCTTTTTGGTTTTTTTTTTTTTAAGATTTTATTTATTTGACAGACAGAGATCACAAGTAGGCAGACAGGCAGGCAGAGAGAGAGGAAGGGAAGCAGGCTCCCTGCTGAGCAGAGAACCCAGTGCGGGGTTCCATCCCAGGACCCTGGGATCATGACCGGAGCCCAAGGCAGAGGCTTTAACCCACTGAGCCACCCAGGTGCCCCTTACTATATGTTTTTCAACTAAAATTCAGGTCTTAGTTTCTTCATAGAAGTTTACTGGTTTTCAAAATTCTAATCACTAGGAATTATTTTCCTCTTTTGTATTATTTTTAAGGTTGCACAAAGCTGAAACACATTGTTAGAATATGCAAAATGTTATTTGCCTCAATTTCAAGAAAATATTTCAATGCATCAGCGTACTCATTTGTTCATGTGAAGAGAAATTTTGCTTCAAATTCCAATTTATCACTTAAAAATTTTAGCATGAATTGAAAGAAAAATTATGAAAACCACTTAAAAATATTTAAGATAATAACTAGTATTTAATATGTAAAGATACAATGAATATTGCATAAAGATTCATACTGAATTGAATAAAAATAGAGAAATTAAAATAGAAAAGATAAATCTTTACATTTCTTAGGGGAATGGAGGTGAATTATTGAAAGTTCTCAAACATTACACAAAGGCGGATGATTGTATTCTTAAATTATTGGGTAGAAACCAACATAGAATAGAAAGGAAAACAAAAGCTCTATGCCTGTTTCTGTGTGTTCAGGCACCTAATACTAAACTAGACTGGTTAATATAATTGGAAAGAGGCCAGGCTACCAGGCTTGTTAGCCCAATTATAATTCTCTGCATATTCAATAAAAGAAGCCAAGATGACAGCAATACTGTCATAAATGTCATGTTCAATACTTGTAAGATTTTCCAT